TGTCTTCCAGTGCGAGAGCCTGTGTGTGTGTGTGTGTGTGTGTGTGTGTGTGTGTGTGTGTGTGTGTGTGTGTGTTGGGGCGGGGGAGGGGTGTAATTTAAAAAATGCCGTTTCCAATCGTTGCCCTAACCCCGGCCTGGGCTGCAGACGCGGCGCTGTGCACATGTAACGCACACAGACGGGGGGTTGTTTGTTTTGTCGTCTTTAGGCTCTGACATCTGCAGACGATGGGAAGAGGCAGCAACAGGACATGGTTAGCAAGAGCCACGGACGGGAAATGAAACCGCGGGCGAGGCAGAACCAGCAGCAGTTCCCCAAAAGCCGGGATCCGTGCCCCGGGGGAGGCTGCGGGCGCCCCCCGGGAGGACACGGGGGCACGAGCGCCCGCCTCTGACCTGTCATTAGACACGGCCCAAGCGCGGCTGTCTGGTCTCAGACCGAGCGCACAGTGCGCCGGGGGCACGGCCCTTCGCAAGCGCAAGCACAAGCACAAGCACCCCCCTGCAGGCGGGCGGGCGGGCCGGCCGGCCTCTCCTCCCCTCCCCTCCCCGGCGCCCGCAGGTGCAGGCTGCGAAAACACAGCGGGGATCGCAGGGGAAAGGAGTGCGCCTGAACTCGCATTTTCACAGCCCTGCGTTTTGCACATGGGCTTCATTCAGCTCCTTTCGAGCCGACCCGAGAGAGAGCAGGACGCCGGCAGGCTGCCCCCGTGCCCGAAGAAGGGCGCTTGTGCCCCCAAACTTGCAAAAAACCCAAAATAAAATATTTCCAACTATTCACTGGGTCTAATACAAGACATCGCACTTACATTACCCTTCTGTGGCTGCTTTGTTTCCAGCCGTGTTGGGAAAGTGCAAGTGAGAGCTCGGCTGTGGCCCCAGGAACAGCGCCGGCTCCAAGGAGGAGAGAGGAGGGGGAAAGGAAAAAGACAGACAACGAAGAAGTGTTTCCATTTCAAGGTCGGAAGGATTCGGGCGAAATGCCTTGCCGCCATGCCGCCGAAAAGGACACCCCACACATCCGCCCACGGGATAAAAGAAACAAGTTTGAACAAAGAAACCCAGCTACAAATATTATACTAACAGTGGAGCCCACCAACGTAACAAACACATTGTTAATATAACTATAGTAGTAAATCAAGACCTGAGTCTACAATATCGTTGTAACCAGCTCCACAATTCACCGAGTCTAAGGTTACAATGTATCACTCATCTCAGTAAAAAGACCTGGTTAAACGCTGGGAGGGAAGCTCCTGTCAAACGTGTAGTTTTGGGGTTGTGCGGTCGGTTAGCTTGTCTCGTTATGAGGACTGAAAGGAGCGGGGGGAAATCCCTTGTACTTGCCCGACGCCTGCCAGGCTACGAATGCCAGAACCAGCGATGAACACCGCCGGGTGCGAGGGCGGGTGCCATGTCACTGAACAGGCGTCATCGGTGATCTCCGAAAATCATTGCTCACAAAACCTGTGCTTGCCATGACCATCAGGAGAAGGGTCCATACTGAGGACCGGGCTCGTGCAGGGTGATCTGGGTGGCTTGCTAACCCGAGCCCGTCCAGCTGAGTGCAAGTACATGAATGTGAACATGTTTTAGCTCGCTAAAAAAAATTGTCACTTGGTCAACATTTTTTCCCCCAACGATTTAAGTCGGTGTAACACAAGAGACCGGATTCACGCGATGAGCCGTGACCGCGCGGGGCGCGGCGGGGCGCAAGCGGGCAGCGCGCGGAGCGGAAGGAAGCGATGTTGCTGCTGCGAGACTCATCTTGCGGCTGTGCTGCCCAGCCCGGGGGCGAAGCATGTGTGAAATTTCGGTTTTGGGCAGAGGGAGGGAGCAGCCGCGGGCCGCCCCTCGCACGTGGGGCTTGTCCAGCCTCCAGCAGCAACCCCGGTGTAGGCGGGAGCAACCCCGGTGTAGGCGGGAAACAGCCCGCAGTGCATCTCCAGCCGCCGAGCCGCAGCTCACCCGCCGAGAAGCACCCTGCACGGAACCAGGTAATGCCTCATTCGCCCCCCGCGGCTGAAGCGGGGTCGGGGCCGGTCCCCAGCCGGGGCAGGGCTGCCTGCAGCCCCACAGCGCCTGGGGTCGGGTAGCATCGCGGGGGGACCGTCCTCCCTGGCTCCCCGCCTGGCAGCAGCAGCAGTCGGGTCCCTCGCCCCGCGGCGCTGGGCTTGGCGCCCGGGTCCAGGGAGGGGAAGTTGCCGGGAAATAGTGAGCTCGCTCGGAGCAGGGAGGCCTCCCCGGGGTAGAAAGGCTCCAGGCTCCCCTGGCCCGTTTGGGACAAGGGGGCTGTGTCTGGGGCCCCCCGGCACAGTGGCAGGGGCTGCCCCTCTGCAGAGCAGGATGCCAGGGGAATAATGGGGCAGTCCGGCCCTTGCTGGGGGCAAGGGATCTCTCAAAGCCTCCTTTGCTAAAGCCCCAGGGCAGTGGCACGGGGCCCTTCGCTGCACAGCCGGCAGTCCTGGCCTGAAGGCAGGGGCAGGAGCCAGGTTGAGGAGCGTGAACCAGAGATAGAGAGGGCACATCTGTCTAGATCAGGGGTCAGTAACCCCCAGCACGTGTGCCAAGCATGGCACGCAAGGCCATTTTGCTTGGCACACCACAGCTAGCCCAGGCTCAAAGCAGCTGCTGCAACCCAGCTAAACTCTACAACTCTTTGTACACATTTGCATGTCTGCCACTTCTTGGTTGGTGTGATGCCCATTCTCTCATTACCGGGAAGAAGCTATGTTTCATTGGGTGGCAGCAGCGGTATGTGCAAGTTTGAATATGGTGATTTTATATTCACCATCTCTGAGTGGCAAAAACGTCCTGGCAAACCTGCGTGTTACTCATGTCAAAATCAGTTTCTGGCGGCTTACATGTCAGGACAGATGACAACCAAAAAATCTATGGACTTGTTCTCAAAATCCCTGTTCAGCTACTGCTTGATCCTGAGGCATCCGAGTCCCTCAGGTACTATAACTTGGACATTAAAGATCCCCTGGTACCTAAGGTGCAGCCCGGCATGGTGGTGCCAAGAAGGTTGGGATCTGCAGTTCAGAAATCCCTCCACCTCTCTTTCCAGAGGAGCATGTCTTACTGGACTTGACTTCCTAGGACATTCAGGGCAGCTGCCATCACTCTCGGGGCAACGCATCCTTTTTTATGCAGAATCCTAGTGGTGAGGGGACCCACCAGGGACGTGAAACCTGGGCTGGAGTCCCTCCTGGGAAGAGCAGGGGGAGAGGGGCTGCATGCAGGATAAGCGTTTCACCCTTGCTTCTGCTCCCTGGTCCACTCGAACAGGGAAGGCTGGCATGCCTGAATGGGGCAGGGTGGGAATTGGACATAGGGCTGGGGAGAGCCAGGAGCTCATGCTCCAAGTATAGAGCTATTGGAGAAGAGGGAGCAGCACTGCCCTACACACTTCCTTCTCAAAAGTTTGGGTTTTTTTGAGAGAAAGGAGTGAGTCCTATCTGAAAGAGAAGGCTACAGATGCTTGCAGAAGAGCTGCAGAAGAGCTGCCTGCAGAAGAGCATGAGCTCAGAGCCTTGAGCCCCAAGTTCAAGCAACAATGAGCAAAGCATCTCAGCCCTACCAGGGGAGGGGAGAATATTTAAGACACAAGTGTTTGCTATTGATCAAGGACAAGAATAGTATGCTAGCCTTGGGGTTACTACAGAGATGCCCAGCCCTTGCTACGCACTGCACAGGGAGCCTGCACACCTAGCAGGGCTGCAGATTGTGCCGTGGGGACTGCAGACCTGCCAGTTAGAAGTCGCGATGTTGAACGTGCCCATACAGGTCTTCTTTGTGAAAAGTAGTGCGACACACAGTCAAACAGCTGTAGCTGCTACCCGAGCCAGGTTGCACTGCTTGCTTTCTTCAAAAGCCACCGTGGCCTTGAACACTTCATTCCAAAAGATTTTTAGAGAACTCACAAAGTTTCAGCCTCTACCTCAGTGAAAGGAAGTAAAAAAAAAGGCAAGTTATTTTAGCAGATGAGAGGCTTGGATGAGACAAGCGGGCAGCAACAAGCAGAGATGGGGGAGAAAGGAAAGGGATGCGGTTGTTCTTGGTATGCCTTCCTCTATCATTTTGCTCCCCCCCACCTTCTTTCTTTGAGTGGTGGGGAGCTCAAGGCATTTTAATTTTGAAGAGGAAGTTAAGGCATCACTTAGCTTTTAAAGATAAATTATTCAAGTGCTTTGGTTCTTGAAGACAATATATTAAAATGTCATTACTACTAAGGCTGAAGCAAATAGCAGAAGCACAGATCAGACAAACCCTTAGATGCTTGGTGCATCAGTAGGAATGCAGTTCTTAAAAGAGTCTAGATCTCTTCTTCAGAAAAGTCTTTAGTGACCCAATACCTTTTTTTCCCTGCACCTTGAAGTAAAACTCAAAGCAGCGTGGAAAGAAAATGATTTTAGATTGCCTACTACCTTGCTGTAGGACAGCTAGCTTGTTTTCTGAATACCTTTGCCAGGCATCAAAGTTCCCACAGACCGTCTACATTTTAAGAAGGATGAATTAGCTGAATGCTTGAGGTCTCTTCCTACTCCGTTCCTCTAGGATTGTCAGCTAGGTGCGTAATAAAACTCATTATCCCAGCTAGCCCCTTGCCACAGTTAGCCACTCTGAGTGACAGTAAGTCTTCTAAAAGCCATTTAAATTAGTTTACTCTGCTAAAAAAAACCCCAAGACTGTCTGTATAGGAACAATAAGTGACTAAGGAAATTAAAACATGATCTATGTTAGAGATAAAAGCATCTAGTTATTGAAGCAAGCCTACAATTAAGCAATACCCCATGTTTATCTGTCTCAAACTATGAATCAGTTTAAGGGTAATAAAAATATTAAGATATGAATGCTGAGGTTGTAAGAGACAAGGGAGAGTAAAGCACAACAGAGCCAAAAATGATTTAAAAAAATACAAGATGAATAATTCAAGAGGAAGTGACATGTTCCAGAAGGCTCGAAAGCACCTTCAGCTACAGCTAGTCCAAGCTGAACTGCAATCTCATGTCAGTCTGAATAATTTTCTGGGCAACATGAACATTTGTGATAACTCAAACACCTTTACTGAATTATTTGTAATTGGGGCAACAGGAAGGGAAAGCATTAGTAATCTCTGCCATACAAGGGTGAAAGAAAGGGATAATTGGGTTTATGGGGGTGTGGATGTGTATTCATCACTCTAGGCAAATGTACCTAACTAGCAAGCCTAGTTCCTTTATGGGTTACGGTCATACAATTTGCCCCATCTCAACTCCTTTTCTAGGAACTACTGTAGTTCTATACCAAGTTACCCAAGTCCCTTCCAGTAAAAGTCCTTTTTATGCCTGTGCACAGCTGTAGTTTCCCTAGAGCAGAGATTTGTTCCAGCTGAAGCCTCAGTTCAGTCAGGTTGTTGCAAATCATTTTTTCTGAAATGTGCATTACAGCATAACCACAGCATTCCCCAGCAAACAAAACAGAGCTCTAGGCCATCATATATAGTACCAGGGATTATCAGAAAGGAAAGTTACTTACAAGCAAATTCTTTAGTTCTGTAGCATACGGGCAGTTTAGATGTGGCTCCTGAAGAAAGTAATATTTAATAAACACATTAGTATTTGAGCTGAGGCACAAGGCACAGATCATGATCTCTAGGGCATGCACATCTTTAACTTGTATCCCATGACTGTCAGCAACATCAAGACCTCAGCTTGCAGCTAGAAGAAGTTGAAAGTTTGGCTACCCTGGTAAAGGATTACAGATGTATAAGAAAAATACATAAGGTGTGAAAAACATTATCCGTGTAGATACACTACATACCAGTATAGTATTGGGTACTTCAACGAAGACCATGTATGCTGTGGCTTTCCTTCCACAACAGAAGAGCCAAAAAGCTACAAACTAATTCTTGCTTTTCTTCCATCTTCAGGTTGTTGCTGATTGTGCTTAAAGACAGCGAACACCTGGGGGAGAGAAGACAATCTCTGACCTTAGCCCCATGGTCTTTTGGGAAGTAGTAATTAGGGGGCCGATTTTTCTAGGCAACTTATTTTTTTTGCAAGCTATTGCATCTTCAACATTTTTTAAATGGCTAATTGTTGTAAACAAAGGGTACAACAATGATGTACCAGATCTAATTTTTTTGGTTGAGGGAGCTCATTTAATAGGATTGCAAAAGGGAAAGGAAGCCTTCTGAGGCAGGAAAGGGAAGAGAGATGTGATGACGAATTTCCTGGCTAGATTTTTTCCATGGAGTTAGGAATCTGGTGAAGTCAATGCAAAAGATGTTCTGTTAAATATTTATTTTTGGATTCAGGCCTCAACACAGGAGAATCAACGGAGCTCTCATTAGATCCTGACTGTGGGCATATGTTAATGTAGTTGGAATCAGCACCAGAAGCAGTCCAGGGTAAATGAAACTGAAAGACAGAAAATAGTATCTCATTGCTAGCTGGCTGATTAGAAAATTCTTGATTGAGGGAAGAGATCCACCTGTCCATTAGGATATCTGGTAACTTACCACCAATGTTAATTTTGGGATAGGTGTTCAATCTCCTTCTAAATAGAAGGCACCTCTTGTCTTTAAATGATGTAATTGAAACTGGGAAAGTATCAAACTTAGCTCTTCTAACAATCCGGAGGCTGTCAGAGCTAATATGAAGCAAGATGTTAGAAAACAAGATGTTAAAAGCAGACCTTCAGTGTCAAGGCAGGAGGGGTAAAAAACTTCTCTGTTCCAGTGATCCATAGCAAAACACACGGTTCGATTTCTCAGCCCATGCGTGTCACTGCGTAACAATGGGAAGCAGAGAACTGGCCAGCATTAGCCCACTCCATCTGAAGGGTGAGCAGGGTTATTATCGCCTCTGGACTCCTTTCCTTTCTTGTTGCAGAGCGAAGATGACTTGCAAAGATGTTTTGGTCTTTCCAGTCCAGTTTGGGGAAAATCTTGAACTCTATTTTGAAGGTAATATTTGTCTTTTATTATACATGTGGGCCTGTGTTGTAATTTCTGTGCAACAAACCAAAACTGGCCAAGCAATTGATTCCATTGCTTGAGTTGACCTCCCTGCTACTGTAGCCTGCTGCTCTACTTCCCTATACCCTTCAGAGCAATCCCCACTTCCTGCAATAACAAACTGTGCTTTCGGGGAGGCCTGGGCTCTGGTTTCCTCAGTGCTCGTAGAAATGTCACCAAGCAGCTAGTGGAGCCCAGTTTTTGGAGCTTCAGCTGCACCAACCAAGACTAATTTTATTTGTTAGAAGACTGAATAGTTTAAGACACTGTTTATTTTAATCCTCCAGTTACACATCAGTCTTCTAAATCTCAAGCTAGACTACTACTACAGGCACAGTTCCTTGCTTGATGGGACTTCAGTAGCTTTTACAGTATCTCCACAAACAGGAGGACTGTTGGGGCATGGGGAGGGGTCTAGTAGAGGGAACCTGTTCATCTTGCTGACTGAAAGTGGCTAGAAAATGATCCATTTAGAAGCAGCTTGTAACAGCCTTTTCTTTCTTTTCATTGCTTGCTTGGAACCAAGATGATGAAGGTAAAGCTGATTATTTGCTTGTCACTTATTACTTTATTTAGTTATATGATTAACTAGTACAGAACTAACCTTCATCCCCAAACCCACCAACTAATTCCACCCAATTTAGCATGAAGTATTAGGTAGTGACTTCACACCCAAATTAATGGCAGGTGTAAGAACAAGTCCAATCTTTCAGAGCTCGCTGTTAAGTGACTCCAAGTGAAATATAGGCCCTCTGGGCCAGGTGAGCTGCTCTAGCAGCAAAGCTTGGTTCATCCAACGCATGACAGAGCAGATAGGATTGCTCAGTGCAACTACACGGGGAGGGCAGGCCCACCGCAAGGGAGAAGAGCTCAAGGACAATGTGGACACAAGAACAAATGGATGTAAATCCATTTAAAGTGGAAGTCAGAAGGGGGTTTCTGTCCATCAGAGAAACCAGGGTCTAGAACAACCTGCAATGGGAGGGGAGGTGATTTTAGGAAAAAAAACCCAGCAGCAACAAAATAACTGCTCCAATGCAGCTGAATGGGTTAAAGAAAGCAGTTCAAGGAGAGGGCTCAGTGATTCAGGGGTGGCCTCCTGTTCCAAGGCCTGGGTGCCTATGACTGGAGAAAGGTATGCCAGAATAGCCGGTTCGGGAAAGGGAATAAACTTCTCCAATTTCTCCCCTTCAAGTTGACATTGCAGTGGATGAGGGGGGAATAAGGCAATGTATAGAAGAACGGCTTCCCTTCTCACTATGCAAATGCTGGCTCTCCAGACTCCTGACTTTTGGGAACAACTCCCCACTTCTGCTCAGGATACCAAGAGATATAGCACAGTCTCTGTTTTGCTTGAATATTATTCCAGCACCTTACCTTTCTATTTATACTTCTAGCTCTTCTGTATACAGGAGATGTGCTGATTTGCTCATTTAGAGCTAAAACTAAACCAATGCAATGGGACTTTGTTTAATGTTTCCACAGAAGCTCTAGAGTGCGACTCCCTGAGGAAAGAAAACTGCATCTGTCAGCAAGTCTTTCGAAACATCAACAGTCAAGTACTCGTGGTGCGGTCAGATTCAAATGTAGGGGTATTCGAATCTGCGGCAGATCAAGAGGTGAAATGTGGTATGTGAAAATTATCTCGCCTCTCTCTCTAATCACTGGCTCACCTTTTCAGTCCACTCAACCTTTTGCCTTGTGGTATCACTGAATTCTGAATCTTAAGGGCAACGTATGCAGCTTGTAGGGCTAAAAACATAACCCCCACTGCTAGAAGCCATAGCTTGTTCTGACCACCTCGGGGAAAAAAATGCAGTTAGCTAAAGGCCTTTCATCATCTCCTAAAAGATGCTGCACATTTCATGTCAGCCAGGAGAGCACAGACTTGCTTCCCAGAGGGAAGTAAAGATCAGAAATGGTACCTGAGGGCAAACAGAAGAGCAAGAGAATTCCTCATCAAAAAGTTACTGAGAGCCACATGCATGCAAAAGGAATGAGGTTCTACAGCCTGGAATAAAGCTGGGGGCTAGCATGGTGCTGCAAAGCCACACTGATGGACCCCTACCCTCTGTTCTTGTGCTGGGTGCGATTGCAAGGCCCCTTTTTGTTTTTGTGAGGCACTAAAAGCTGTTCATTGCTTTACACTATAGCAGTAACATTCTTTGCTCATTCCCAGCCAGGTTTACAGAGCTCATTACTAGCAGCAAACGTAACCTCTACCTTCTGGACATGCACTAGAGGGCTCACACAACAAACTAAAGCAACCCAGCAACATCACACACATGGGCAATGCCTAGTCCTTTACCATTTGCTCCATCCAGCAGAGAAGTCCAAATGAATTGTATCAGCCATCCTAGGACAGGATACAAAACAAATACAGGCCCCACTTCTTTCCAACAAGTAGAAAAAGTGTCTGTTTGTGGTGCAATAAAGCACAGGTGGAATTAAATTGTGGAACTTGTTCCTTCCTGGGGGAATTTCTAATGTGAGCACTTTCTGTTTAGGGAGTGGAATGCTATTCACCATTCACTATTATTCAGAAACGGGTATACCTGAAACCGGGCCGGCTGTAGCATTCAGTGTCCAAGCAGGTAGCAAGACTTACTGTATGTACTGCACGAATGAAAGCGGGAAAAGAATGGTTCGATTTCGGGTAAGTAGCTCCGTTGGTTCCCAGCACTCACCTTAGCTGGTGAAATAAATAAAACTAGGACATCAAACATGCTGCAACACAGAATTGTTCCTGAACCAGTCAAGAGCTGGGTAATGAGTCTGACCTGGGAGTTGATCTGTGTGCTTGCTCTGTTTCAGGAAGGAGAGCCTCCCAAGAACGTTGAAGACAAAATAATAGACATTGTTTTTATTCAAAAGCTGTTTACACCAGGAGACAGCATGTCATTCAAGTTTGAATCTTTGCTGATGCCAGGATATTTCTTGGCCTTTGCAGAAGAGGACAGCTTAATGAAACTGATTTTAAAGAGCTGTGAGAGTGGAGATGAAGTAGACGAGACCATGAAGATACATTTCTACGCTTAAACTAAACAGAAAACTACTCTAAAAGAAACTGCATAAGCTGTTTCTTGGCTGCCTTTTAAAACATCTTACATGGCAGTTAATTACCAACTTTTTTGTAATTTTAATAAAGCAATTTTCTTAAAATCATTCAATTCTCCATTTGTTCAAATTGGTTCTTTTTTTAATTTGTTTGTGAAACAGCCATTCATCCCTCCTGGTACCGCAGATTTTACTGGCTCCCACGAGGCAGCCTTACGGTCTTCTTATTCATCTGAGAGTGCAACGTGCATCCGTTTCCTCCTATGAACAACTGGTGTTGGAGGCTGGAGGCAGGTCTGGACTTGCCCAGACAGCAGCCTGCCAAGAAACACGCTCAGTTCTAGCTCATGAACAAAATTCTCAAGAAAGCAGTGGAACCCATTCATTTTGCTTTCAAAATCTGCCCAGCACCAAGGAAAGATGGATTTTCCACACACCAGGCTAGGGTGGGCAGGAGCTCTGCAGTTTGCAAACTGAGGCATGTGACTGGGGGGAGGGGGTCAGGGGGTGCTATTTAAGGGGAATGGGAGGGTAACTGTATGAAGGATGAAACCAGGAAGGACTCTGTCTGCATCACCTTAGACTCTGATGTGCTCAAGCCTTCTGCGTAGTATTCTGCTAAGATCTCAACCTCTGGCAACTTTTAAAAGCAGTTTCTGAGACTAAGCAACTGCTTTGCTGAGCTTGTGCATCCCTGCCTACCTGTCACACTGGACCCACAAGCATTAAACCAAAAGGCAGTGCTCCAGAGCCAAAGCTACTTATATGGTGGTATCTCATGGCTTAAGGAAGGGCACAGACAGGAGATTTAAGCCTAGAAACATGGCCTAAAAATCCAGAACTATGACACGGAGCATCTACACCTTCATTAATGCACCGTAATTATGGTGCATTAAGTTTAAAACCTGTAATGACAGGAACTAAACTTAATGCACCATAATTGGTGCTACTGTGCATTAGCAAAAATGTTTTTTTTGTGACATTAAGATGTGTAGTAAACTAAATCTACTGCATATTAGAGCATTAGCATGGGTTTTGTCTGTCGCACTAATGCACAGTAGAATTAGTCTACTGCACTCAGAGAGTCTCACGTAGACGCGTCCAGAGATTCAGTATAGGCCCAGCTGGCTTAAATACAGTAAATACTAAGAAGCCCAGCATTGCAAGTTTGATAATTGTTCTAAAAGGGGGGGATCAAACCGGGTTGTAACATCTATGCTACTGAGGTAAGGCAACAAACACTTCATAAAGTGCAAGTGGTTCACATTGACAGGGTGAGGGAGAATCATAGAAAATGAGCGTTGAAGGGACCTCAGGTCACATCTAGCTCAACTCCCTGCTCAAAGCAGGACCAGCCCCAACTACAGCATCCCAGCCAAGGCTTTGTCTAACTGGGGCTTAAAAACCTCCCAGGATGGAGACCCCACCACCTCTCTGGGCCACCTGCTTCAGTTTTACTACTCTTTGTGAAAAAGTTTTTCCCTCCTAACATCACTCCCATAAGTCTTTGAAGTCCTGCAGATTCATATTGTTTCTACTAGCCAATAATAAAGATTGCAAAAGGGGTTGCAGATGACTCATGTACAGATCTAGTGCTTCTTACTGTACAAGAAGCGATAAGAGGAACAGACAGCCGAGGCCAGACTTTTCTAGGTAGGAACAGTCAACTCTGACGTAAAAGGAGTGATTAAAAGTGTGGCAGGTCTTTGTGTCCTTTCTCAGATATTCTGATAACATCTGCTCCTTTTAGAACACAAATATAAATTTTAAGTCAAGAAACTGAGTGGATTAACAATGTATATTGATATACATTGCTGTGTTTGCTGGTTCACCCAACAGCAAAGCACAACTTTTCTTCTTCAAGCACTCCACTCATAGTGCTGCCTGCCCTGCATTAATAGGGACTTGGAAACCTTTACACAATAACTATAGATAACTGGGCAAGTTGGTGCAGATCACTTCCCCTCTTAGACTTCTAAAAAAACCAGAAGTGACTGTAATCTGCCAGACTCACGCATTTTAGAAACAGGAGGTTACTATAGCTCAACTTTCTGAATTATTTATTTTTAAAAATAGAACAAATGACAGAGGATGGTGTTGGCTACAGACCAGCCATCTCAAAGGTCTTTTACACTTAAAAAAAAAAAAAAATGTGCATTATTAGAACGCCATTGTAGTGCAAAGCAGGGTCCTGGCCAAGGAAGGGTACGTACCAGTAACTGCCTGATACTGCCAAGTGAATTAAGAGTCAAGCAAAACCCTTTTCTTTCCAAGAGAGTGCACGTTGTCCACTTATGGTTTTGGGGGGAGAAAAAGGGAAAAAAAGAAAATTGTTCATGTCAAATGCTTTGTATTCAAGGGGCTTTTTAAAATCATGTCAACTTTAGCCTTCCCATAACTGGCTTTGCCACCTGGCTGATTCAGATGCTCCATAAACACTTTATGGAAAGGTTTTGGGCAACCAGAGAAATCCTGCCTTGTAAGCTCCAGCTGCATCAGTTGTTGAACCAGAGCTTAGTTTCAGAGGCTCAAAAATGCACAGATGTACCAGGAACACTGCGTAAGCTACTGTGCAATCAGAAAAAAAAATAAATGCCTTAAACTTTGATCATTTGAGTTATAAGATGACATAACCGCTTTGTGGAGAATTGCTGGCTCTGTACAGTAGAACAGATAAGGGAAAGTGTTTGTTTTTTGTAACTCCTCTGCAACTGCTTCACTCACCGCGGCCTTGAAGATAGCGAAAAGTACGTACAACTCCGATTTCCAGGTGCAAGAAGGAGGTTTGTGAACTAACCTCACCTCCCCCATAAGTTTCCATCCTGATTTTAGAACCTGGACCTCTTCAGCCTCCGCAAGAGAAGGTTGAGAGGCGACCTTGTGGCTGCCTATAAGTTCATCACTGAGGCACAGAAGGGAACTGGTGAGGTTTTTTTCACCAAGGCGCCCCTGGGGGTTACAAGAAATAATGGCCACCAGCTAGCAGAGAGCAGATTTAGACTGGACATTAGGAAGAACTTCACAGTCAGAGTGGCCAAGGTCTGGAACGGGCTCCCAAGGGAGGTGGTGCTCTCCCCTACCCTGGGGGTCTTCAAGAGGAGGTTGGATATGCATCTAGCTGGGGTCATCTAGACCCAGCACTCTTCCCTGCCTATGCAGGGGGTCGGACTCGATGATCTATTGAGGTCCCTTCCGACCCTAATATCTATGATTACAGCAAAAAAGTAATGAAATAATGTTATAGCCGCTTTTCATGCTAATTTCACTATGATTACGTGAGTTGTGACTGTTAAAAAGTATGTAAGTATATAATTTTGCTCTTGGGGGGGGGGACCCTTTCCAAGTGCTTGGGAAATCCATGTCACTTTGGAATCCCCCCTACAGCTGTAGTTTCTTTTGAATAAAAGCTTCTGCTGACCTGACCCAAAAGCATGCTGCGTGCATTTCCATGACACTACACTTGTAACTGAAGTTCTTCTAATGGAATTAATTCCCACTTACCCATGGAGACGATTTAGTGGAGGGTGGGGACGGGGGAGACAAAATGGGTTTATTGAATAAACAAACTTAAATAAACGCATTGCATGGTAGTGCTGACCAGAACATCCTCCTGGCATCAGACAGCAACCATGTAGCCTCTTACCTTACAGGGATCCTGGTTTTCTCTGTTTTAAAAAAAAGTCACAAGGTCTTTGATTAAAACACCCCAAATCCATGTTTTTCTGCAATTCAAATGAAACGCCACTATATATATGTATAGGTATCAGTTGAATGCAATGTTTTATTGATATATTTATGATTTTAAAGTGCTTTGGAAGCCTACCAGTGCCTCATCACTATAATAAGATAAATTCTAAATACCAGCACATTTTGCTGTTTGATTTTGGGTTGGTTTTTTTTTTTTACCATGGAAAATTAGACTTCCTCCTGCCCCCTTCACTCACCAGGATGCAGGTCCAGCTGCAGCTGTGCCCCCACCAACTATGTCGCACTGAGCAGCTCTGATATGCCAGTGTCCCTAAGTCACAACCCAGTCCCCCAACCTGCCAGTGCCCCTGACTCCACACCCACAGCCCCCCAGCCCTGTTGGTACCTCCCACTCCCCACCCACAGACCCCCCCCCAGCTCTGCCAGACGGGGTCCTTAGCTAACAGGATTACAGGGCCAGGAACCCAGGTCTGCAGCCCCCTGCTCCACTCCCCCCACCCGCAGCAGTGCAGGAAGCAGCAGCTGCTGCAGCTGAAGCAGAACCCAGCTCCCCCCCTCCTTCACGGGTGGCACAGCTGGAGCACAGCAGCTGCAGACTCCCCACCCACTGGGGGCTTCATCGTCTTAGAATGAGAAAAATCTATGTTTTACTGTGTTTTTCTGTGGTGAGCAGAAAACCCAGATCCCTGCTTATGAAGTTAGAATAATATCAAGCACGGCAACCAAGCTAATTCCCAAAGAGGGAAGAAGGAATTTTGGGATGAGATTAAGCATCTGTTGGCCAATTAATTTAAACATAAAAAGATGAAACAGCACAGACCTCACAGGAATCTCCATGAACATACTTAGGAAAGAACGGGCCAGGGAGCTGGGTGTGGATTAGGTTCTCTCACTTACAAGAAATCATGGCAAACATATGGGTTGAGTTTCATAATAATGGGAAACAGTTTATGGCTCCTAAGACTTAATCTACATCAAAACACTCTATCCTCCTATAACTAGATGACATTCAACACTGCATTTCCGCAGCGCACTCCCAAACATCCAGTAAGAGTGAAAACCGGAGTCTATGTTTTGGTTTTAAAACAGTTACACCAACAGCAGGAGCAGCGAGAATACTTTAAAATGATTGGGGAGAGAAAACAAATGCATCACGGACAGACACACTGTCTTCTGTAAATTCTTTATTGAATGGATTAACAACAACAAAGTGTCCCTTTTTCACACCAACTCTCAGGGCCCCCTCAGTTACATGAGGCAGGTTGCACACACACTTGATGTAATCTCAGGAACAATGATTCAACTTTCCACAGGCACATTTTCTTTGCAAAAATCAGGCTGCAACCAACTTAGCCAAGATGCTATTCTAATGGGAAATAGGTTTCAGCCATATGGGATTATTGCTGATGTAACCCTAGTAATTCACCCCAATTTACACCTGAAGCTTCGTCAGCATCCAGATCACTTCAGTCTATTCTTCTCTCCTAGCAAAGTGCCACTGAGCTCTTCTTGGGGGGTTAACTAACTGCCTGTTCCCACCTCCTCCACTTTAAAAAAAAAAAAAAAAATCTCCCTCATTGAATGCTTTAATAATTAGATGATGAAGCAAAGGCAGCAGTGAACAATCATTTTGTGCTGGAAGTTCAGTGGTAGGTCAGAGGCTCCACAGCATAGCCACCGCTTTGCAGATACCCACGTTCGTGTAGTTGAAGTAGCAGAGGCCTGTGAAGGTCATAGCCGACAGTACATGCAGAAATCCTTTGGCTACTATAACCGATGCTTCCCCATGGACATAATCAGTTATAACCTGGTAAAGACCCCTGAGAAAGAGAGAAACATGCTGAAAACAGAGCATAGCAATCCCTGGGAACATCTGCCCAGCTTGCCTGAGCACTGTCTCTGGAGGAGCCAACGGCCTCCAGCAATTCTCCATCAGCATTTTACAAGCAGGAATTGAGCCCCAGCACCCTCAGCCTTCTCCTGCATCACACAAGTTCTTCCAGGGAAACTGTGTCCGCACCCCACAGCCAACACAACCCTGCCCACAAAGACTGCAGGGAGATGCAGCTCCTGTTGTTCAAGAGACCTGGAGTGACTTTGGCAGCAGGCCCAGAAACAGACCACCCTCAGACTCTCACATTCCTCCAGCAGCCAGGGCTTTCTCAGGGAGCACTTTGCCTTTGTGAGCACAGTGTTGCATGGGTGTAAACCAGACCTGGTGGTTGTGCTTTGCCACCAGACTAGTGTAGGCAAGGGTCTGGTGCTTGCTACCTTTCACTGAGGTAAGATCCATGCTCTACTTTATGGGCAGCTGGGGACAGAGGACAGTTCTAAAGGTAACCTGAGCAGCAGTATCTAGGATACAAGCTGCTTAACACAGCTCCTTTACAGAATACAATATCCCTCACAAGTGGCAGTGATAGTTTGAGACCCGATGGTTGCACTGCAGAAGAAATCAGAGGAAACCCTATGCTTCCTGCATACAAGTGGCATCTCCCAGAAACATGTAGGAAGTCCTGCGATTTTGTCCTCTCTCCTGATCTCTGGCAAGGCCAACCAAGCCTCCAGCATTCTTTAAGATGCCTCTCAAATGGCGATCCTGAAACTTCAGCAGGGATCTTGGCTGTCAACCTCTGCTCAGTTGTCTCCTGCAGGGTTTCTGTGCTACCGAAGCACTGGTCACAACCCGACAGTCACACCGCTTCACTGTCAATTGTCACGACTATGTGAAGTCAGCTGGCTTTGTTATGGATTCTGATATGGGTACATCAGCTGGACTAAAGTTAAGGGCTGCCCATTCTGCTTGCTATAACTGCCAGCAGTTGACACCAAAAAAGCCACCAAACAATCCACTGTCACAAAAAGTGCAGTTTTCCAAAATAATATTTATGACTACACTTGAAACTTTCCTCGTCGTCTCCTGCCACATCATGTTTCCATACAGGAAGCAGAAAAAGGTTTGGCGTTCTTCTTCCGGATAAGGCTTTCTAACATGGGTGCACCAACACACAGAAGCCTGGTGGTACCTGGGACACACCTGAGATTGAAGAACATTGAGCCAAGAGGTCAGCAGGCCCTAGAATCCTCCTGCAAGGGTCAGGTTGGCAACTGATCCTTTATTTCGTATTTCAATTATCCCTTGCCTTTGTGGCAGGATTACATCAACATGAACTTGAATGCCAAAGACACAGCAAGTCTGGACTGGCAGGCACTGCCTTGGAAAAGGCATGAGCTGATTTAGGATCAAGAGTGTTGTGCCTTTACTGGATCCCGTGACTTCCCTCACTGTGGCCAGAAGCCCAGGCATCTCGTCTGATCCAGGTTAACAAGCCATCGTAGAGACCTCGCAGCATGCATTGCACTAAAGCAGCTGTCACAAGGGGAAAAAAGAGGAAACTTGCTGGGTCTGCTTTTCCAAGACATGAGTTTTGTTACCTTAAGATCATCAAAAATAAGGGAAATTGAAGAGGTCCTTAGAGTGTGGCTATCACAGAGACACAGGGGAGGAGGTGGGGAAGTCAAGAAGCCAAAAAGAAGTAGACAAATGGGATATTCAAGATACTAGAGCTCAAACAGCTAGAGCTACACAGGTAGCGGATCAAAGCCATGGATCTGAACAGCACCCACAGATGTCCTGCATACTGCCCCAGAGCCCAAAGTGGTCAGCATGTGACTCAGCCATTTGACTCTGCCTCACGTGGCAGGGTCAGCCAGCAGGGTTTGTTCACCTGGGGAAAATTACTGGCCAGCAAAGGGAGGCATGAATTTAAAGGGCACTGGCCTCTCATACCAATGCTCTGTGTCCGTTCAAATGCTTTTGTGCTGTACAGCTTACCCCCCACCAAAGCAGAGTCACCTGCTTCAGTCTTACTGGGTGCTGAAAGTGGCCACACATGGAGTTAATGTGCAGCAGCTAGTGGCCTTACGTCTACATCCTAGCTTACTGCACTGCAGTTTCCCTGTACAAGCAAACCTTGACCTGCCAAACTGGGTGCAAGACCCTAGTGTCTTAAGGTTTCTCATGCAAACTGAACTGGGTGTTTACACTAACTTGCAGATTGAGTTAGCACTGCCCTTCCTGGGGTGGTTCATAACCATGTGGGGAGAGCAGAAATTCAGCTGGGTCTAAATTCAGCTGGGTTTTCAGCAGAGCCCCAGCTGAGAGTCAAGGGAGAACACAGAGAGAAGAACAAAGCCCTGGCACTGCACTGGCCATCAGCACAGCCTCTCCCATTTGTCACTGACTTAAAGATCTCTTCCTTTGAAGGTGTTCTACCAGGGTGGGGGATGTACTCATACTCCCAGCCAAAAGCAGAAACTGTAATAAAACTCCTGGGCTCTAGCCAAGGGTGATAGAGTCCACCTCTACAAGAAAGAAGGAGAACACACCTGATGCATATGAGGCAACAGCACAGAAACCCCAGTGCTGCAAAGCTGGTATTTTTATTTTAGTAACAAAAGGTTTGGCTGCCCTGCAGGAAGCTAAGGCCATAGCTCTGTGGTAGCAAAGAGTAAAAGGTGTGCTCTTCACTTGGATTAAAAACAGCAATGGGAGAAGGACAACTTGGGTTTAAACTTAGATTGGCAGCTCAAGTTAAAGAGGAGCTGGTGGTGGATTCTGAGTATTGCTCTCTCCACCCAGGTTTGCCAATAAGAGTTCAAAATGTACCTTTTGCCACTGCATGTTCAGGTGAAGATTTAAGCCCCTGTGCCCCTGCTTTAGAAGGGAGTTTCTTATTACCACAGGAATTTCCCAGTGATGAGACACTAAGGGTAAGTAATGTACTTGCTTTTCCAGAAGACAAGCTTTGGAAGGGACAAACCAAACATACAGCTCTATTGCATGAGGTTTGGGGAAAGTCCCTACCCAATTGTTAAGAGGGGCATTTTGCTCCGGATGTCTCAGTATTGAAACACTGTCCTGCTTTCTGCAAGGTCAGTGTAAGATTGAAGGACTAATCGAAATGCGGCTGAGAACAGCACGCATGCACTTTCCCTCCAGGAAGCTCTGAGGCAGGATCCTGGTACCAAACCACATTAGATCACATGGAACTTTCCACAAGTCTGTTGAGTCATGTTGCAGAAACGCAAGACACAGATACCTCCTCAGGCACATGCAGAGTTGTAGTGGTTAGAATTTCCCGTGGCCCCATCAATTGGTGAAATCCTTCCCGGAGCGATTGCGTTTTAGAGGAAAAAACAAGCGGAACCCACATTTAAGCTCTCTAGGGAAAGCCCTCACCACCGTCAATGAGCACAGGGTTTTCCGGCACAACTTTGAAAAGACAGAACTTCTCTCACGTGCCTGATATATAGAGCCCCCTTCATCCCAGAGCATTGGTGATGTGCTTTTCAGCCTGATGCACAAAGTAGATCCAATCGGTTGCAACTGGTACCTGGGGCACTGCATGGTTCCACCGCTCTCAAGGTATCTGACCTACTGTATGAATGCCTGCACAGCCAGGTAGGCCAACTGCCATCCTGGGCATGTGTCCAACAAGACAGAAATGCAGCCAGTGAAGGGGAGACATTGCTAGATGAACCTATTCAGTTAATGCAGTTAACAAACAGCTACCTCACATGGGCCAAAATATATGGAGGAAAAAATCAGGTGCTTGCTAACGCATCACCTGTAGTCACTAAGCCCTTCACCATGCAGGTGCCAAATACCAAAGAGCCTGGGCTACATCAGAAAAGCATGGAAGGTTGTACTCTGCTTTAGTTTCCATGCTGCTCTTCACAACACAATCAGGGACATATCCAAAGGTAACCACGGAGTTCATTCCCCCTGGCTAAAGTACCAACATAGCTTCTTTGAGTAAGAGCACCCGAGGGCCCAATTACTCCGTAAACAGGGAGCTCCTGCTAATCTGGGCATCCTGCCAACCAGACAGACAAGCTATCCTACAGCTGCAGAGAGAAATGCTGTGTACCACGGTGACGACAGTTGCAAAACTCCACCTTTTGAGGGATTTCATCATCCATGTTGATGTCATCACGGACACAAATGTCTTGCTTCAGGCAATCTCTGCACGCGTGCCTGCACAGATATCAAGCCCTGCCCTGGTTCAATCCCAGCACCACCAAGAGCTGCCTAACACATCCAGACAGGCCTACCAGTTTTCGCCAGGTTAAAAATTCAGCATCACTTTAACACCTGCACTGTGTATAGCAGGAAGTGAAAAACCCTGCACCCAACCGAAACTGCAGGAGGAATTCAGTCAAGTGAAAGGCAATAAAACAGGATGGACTCTGGCCAAGACTCCAAGATAAATATCCTGACTCAGAGAAGCACAGAGATGCCTCACATGCACAGATACCCGCGTCTTTGATTTTTCACCTGACCCAAAGGAGAAGACCTTGGATAACAGAGAGCCCCAAGGCTAAGCTGAGGCCTTCACTCTGCACCAAGACAGAGGGAAGAGCACCCCTATCGCACCCCAGGTTTCTTTGGAGGGATCTCACTTCAGATCAGATTCTGTCCTGGTGCTGCTTTCATAGATGTGCTCAGAACTTAAGGTCCTACATAAACCATAAGACAATGAATGCTAGCCAGGGGCAGTGAACAGTCACAGAGCCTCCTTAGGGTTTCTGTTGCTTGTAAAATGTGGAATATGGAGAGAGAGCAAAGTGTAGGAAATTGAGGAGACAAGAGGCAGCCCCATAACGAGAACACCTATCCTGCCCTGTACCTGAACAGGCAGTGCCAGAGGAAGGTCCGAGCTGCTGCAAGTCTGGTGGAGGCTACAAGAGGCCAGCCCCTAGGACTCGGGGAATGAGTTTTTGCATTTTACCAGGCATTCTACCCGAGTCAGAAAACTGACATTAAGTGTACTGCTTGACTCCATCTCTAACCACAGCTCTGAGCTCAGAGAATACCTCTGGTTATTGGAACAGCCACAAAAACTTCCATCTCCAGTTCTGCCAGTCCTCTGTGCTTACCAGTGACCATGAAGAGTGAGGATCAAAGCCAGTGAATAGTCCACGACAGGTCCTGGGTACACATAGGCCGCAGGAAAGAGACCCAGCAAGATGACACTGACAACTCGCTCACTTATCCAGTGCAGAGATGCAGCCTTGGAGGGGGCTGGAGTGAAGAAAAAAAAAAAAAGCATTTTCAGAGGGCAATTTCTGCTTGCAGGGTTCCAAGCCAAGCAACGGCTCCTCTGTCTGAGCAGTTTCACATGTGCTGCTTAGCTGGCAATGCTAGGATGTCTTCATCTCACTCCTCCAGAAGGGGTTGTCTCCCGTATTGTCTAAAATGACACACTGGCAAAAGCCCTCTTTCCCCCTGCCCGTCAGCTTTGTACAAAGGAAAGTTCCATCTGTTAGAACAGACTGAAAATGCAACAGCTGAAGTCAAAGCAAAAGAGACCTTTTAGTTTTGTGGCCCACTGTCCTATAGTTTCATAGTAGTCAGGGGTCAGAAGGGACCTGAATAGATCATCTAGTCTAACCCCCCTGCCACTGTTTGGAGCACACGCTGGGATCACATGACCCCAGACAGGTGATTATCCAACCTCTTTTTGAATTTACTCAAGGTAGGAGTGAGGACCACTTCCCTAGGAAGTTGGTTTCAGATCCTAGCCACCCTAATAGTGAAAGTGTCTCCTCATGTCTAACCTGAACTTATTCTCCAGCAGCTTCTGGCCATTGTTCCTCGTCACCCCAGGTGCTGCTGGGGGGAATAGGACCCTTCCTATTTGCTGCTGATCTCCCCTAACAAGTTTGTAGGCAGCCACCAAATCCCCCCATAGCCTCCGTTTGCTGAGGCTGAACAGGGTCAGGTCCCTCAGCCTCTCCTCATATGGCCTGCCCTCTTGCCCTCCAACCAAGCGGGTGGCCCTCCTCTAAACCCTCTCCAGGCAGGCCACATCCTTCTTAAAGTGCGGTGCCCAGAACTGGACGCAGTACTCCAATTGTGGCCTGACCAATGTCACTTAGAGGGGGAGGATCACCTCTCTGGACTTGCTGGAGATGCATCTTTTCTTTGGATGCACGACAAGGTGTGGTTGGCTTTGCTGGCTACGGTCTGGCTTTGGTGGCTCATGTTCATCTTGGAGTCAATAATGACTCCAAGATCCCTTTTCACCTCTGTGCTCACAAGCGGGGAGCTCCCCAGCTTGTATGTATGCTGTGGATTCCTTCTCCCCGGGTGCAGCACCCTGCGCTAGTTTACATTGAAGCCTATCCTATTACCATACGCCTACTTCTGTAGTCTGTCTAATTGCAGCCTCTCTCTCCCTTCAAGCGTGCCTACCTCTTCCCACATCTTGGTGTCATCGGCAAACTTGGACGTGTTTTCCACCCCCTTGTCCAAGTTGCTGATGAAGATGTTGAACGGTGTAGGCCCCAGGACCAAGCCCTGGGGGACCCCACTGTTCACATCCTGCGAGTATGACCCATCCACCACCACTCTGGGTGCGCCCCATCAGCCAATTTTTGACCCATCCAACTGTGTAGGCATCAATGCCACAGTCGCTCAGTTTATTAATGAGATGGGGTGAGAGACAGTGTCGAAGGCCTTCTTAAAGCCCAGAAAGACTATGTCCACGGCAACACCATCATCCAGGGATTTAGTTACCTGGTCATAAAAGGCCATCAGATTGGTCTGGCAGGACCTGCCTTTGATGAACCCATGTTCACAGAATCATAGAAGTCGGGTCTGAAGGGACCTTGTAGATCTTCAAGTCCGACCCCCTGCCTGGGCAGGAGGAAAACTGGGCTTAAGTGACCCCAGCCAGGTAGGCATTGAGCCGCTTCTTAAAGCCCCCCAGGGTAGGAGCCAGCACCACTTCCCTTGGAAGTTGGTTCCAGATCCTAGCCGCCCTGACTGTGAAGTACTTCCTACGAATGTCTAAATCTAAACCTACTCTCCAGCAACTTGTGGTCGTTATTCCTTGTTATCCTGGGGGGCGCTGGGGGAAACAAGGTCTCCCCCAAACCCTTCTGGTCCCCCCTAGTGAGTTTATAGACGGTCACAAGGTCCCCCCTCAGCCTTCTCTTGTGAAGGCTGAACAGGTTCAGGTCCCGTAGCCTCTCATTGTAGGGTCTGCCCTGCTGTCCCCTGTTGATTTCCCCTGGGTGTGATCTCCCCTGCCGGCCCCCCACAGATGTGATCCTTGGTAATTTTTTCAAGGATTTTCCCCAAGACCGATGTGAGGCTTATGGGCCTATAGTTTCCCGGGTCCTCCTTCCTCCCTTTCTTATAGATGGGGACCACATTAGCTAGTTTCCAATCTCCGGGCACCTGGCCCGTGGACCACAATCGCTCGTACAGCCGGGCCAAGGGCACAGCAATGACCCCAGCCAGTTCCATCAATACTCGTGGCTGGAGGGCATCAGGGCCCGCAGATTTAAAAACATTTGGCCCTTCCAGAAGATCCCCAACTACTTCTGCGCAGACCCGAGGCCTGGCAGTGCTATCCTCAAGACTGCCCCTACCTGTGGAGGGAGAGCTGTCCTGGTCCCTGTCCAAGAAAACAGAGGCAAAGAACTTGTTAAAGATCTTGGGTTTCTCGTCTGGCGTAGCCACAAGATTACCATTTGAGTCTAACAGGGGCACTGCATTACCCGGTGCCCGCTCCTTACTCCCAATGTATTTGAAGGACTTTTTGTTATCCTTAATCCTGGTCGCTAGCCTGAGCTCCACCCCCGCCTTGGCTTTCCTAATGGCCCTCCTACACTCACGGGCCAAGGAAGAGTATTCCTCCTTGGTGATAGCCCCTCTCTTCCAGCAGGTGTACGCCTCCCTTTTGGCCCTCAGGCATTCTTGAATGCCTTTGCTGAGCCATGGGGGTTCCATAACAGGCCCTAGTACACCCGCCCAAGGACAATCGTAAAGTGGTTTGTTCTAGTGCTTAAATAGTCACAGACTGCTTGCAACCACAGACTTCACTGGTTCTGCTTTCCTATTCCTGCTCAGAACATCACAAAAGGAGAGGATGAAAAGCCGGGCAATGTCTGGAGAAAATCCAACAAGATGCTTGGGCCGCATTTCCACTTCTGCTCCCAATTCACTGCACAGCCCAGGGCAAGCCACTGACCTGCTCTGTGCCGCAGCTTCTCAGTGAGGGCAAAATTACAGAGCATCGATTGTGAAGTTGCATCTAGAATATAATACACGCATCGGAGCACCTGTCTAAATATTTGACTTCGAACAGTCTAAAACCATAACGTCATACAGAGATTTAATTTGAATTGTACCAAAAATCAAATTAAAACATTTCTCCACTCTGCAGGGTAAGGGAATTCAGAACATTTTTGCTACAGCGCTGGAATGAAAGTATGTGCAATAAGGCAGCTGTTGAGAGCCGAGGCTTTTGTAATGGCCCGAGGCTTGCGATTTAGCCGTTACCACAGGCAACTCCAAGGCAGGCCTACCACACTTTAGTTCTGCTCCTGTGAGCACAGTGTTCACTGAACACTGGTTTTTCAGTGTGCTCTAACAACCAAACATCACTGGGAAATTCATTTTATCCTATGAAAAAGAACACTGAATTTTTCAGCCCTAGCAAACATTAAGCATCATTTTAAAAAGGAGACCTGAAAATTCAGACAACACCAATTTCCACACAGAAGTCAAAGGAAATGCTACCAAACAGCTCATCAGTTTTTCTAGCATTCGCAGATATATTAATAGTCAGTTCTGACTCCAATTCAGATAATGCAACAGGTGGTTCTGAAATCTCAGGTTTAAATGCTGTGTGCACATGTGGAAAATGTTACTCGTTTAAACCACACCATTTAGGACAAGAAACAGAAATGATACCACGGGGGGATGATTGGGACCGACCATAAAGGGGAAGCCCAAATATCAACTAAAAACAAAAGCCGATGTTTATTAATCAAATTTTTGTGCATTGAGATGAACACAATTAGATGCGGCAGAGGAAAATTAAACCCAGCATCACTAGGTCTGAAGCCCCAGGCACCCCCACTTCTAATGACGTACCATCGGTGTCGGGAGGTGTGTGGATTTGACGGGTCAGAGTCAGACGATCAAAGGTGATCGGAGATGCAACAATGGGTCTGGTCAAAAGGATCTTACTCTGAAGAACTGTAAAACAGAACCAGGAGTAAGTAATACACGTTTACACCTCACCCAGAGTTAAAGTTAAAACCCTGGAAGGTTAATTGCAACGATTCGCCCTTCAAAGAGAGTCAAACAAGAGGCCATAAAATCCTGCCTGAGAGAGCCTGGAGCACTCCCCGAAAGGGGGAAGTCAGGTTCCTCCCCAATTCAAGGGAGGTTTCGAGAAGTGACTCGAAGTATTTACAAGGCTGATAATCACGTGGCTCCAGGCTTTTTTGACCCATCGTTTCACACTGGAAACCACAAGCACCCAGAAGTTGAAGCAATGTTGTGGCTGGAGATTTGTTTAAAGACATCGACAAAAGGGAAAGGCCGTAACCACCCACGTCAGCACGACAGAGCCTGCAGGGGCGGGACAGGTGCCGGGGAAATCTCACCCTCCCCGAGAGGTGACAAGGGGTCAAGGGGAAGACGCTGCTCTGCCTATTCAATGCCGAGATCCCACAGGCCGGTGCGGGGTCGAGGCCCCCGAGCAGCTGCGAGGCCCGCTGGGACCTCGAGGCCAGCAGAGGGTGGAGGAAGCGAGACGTGTGTGCGCGAGTCCGGGCAGCAGCGCCATGCACCTAAAGGCACTAACAGCTCTGGCTGCAAAGGAAGTCACCCTTAAAGGGCTCCAGGGAGCGGGCGGGCGCCTTTGGGGGACAACAGGAGCGAAGCAGGGACAGGAAGGGAAGCCGGCGGGGGCGCCTGCACACACACATTGGGAAACACACGACTATACACCCGCGTATACACGCACATGCGGGCATGCACGTGGGAACACGAAGGCACACGTGCACCCCTGCATGCACACACACGCGGGGTG